GGGTTCAGATTAATGAAGACGAGGTGAGCAGGGAGGAAGATAAAAACCCTACGAACTTTCACTGACAAGAAGAAGTCAGGTCATTTCTTAGAGTGACTGTGCAATAAAATACAAAAACCTCCATCACCACAGGGCAGTGCGGTGTTTGACTTCACAGGGACGGGAACAGAGGTTTGGGGGAACTGCAATGCTCCACGCGCCATCACCCTCTCTGCCCTTATCTACTGCCTGCGCTGCATGGTCGGACAGGACATTCCCCTTAATCAGGTAATGTGGTTTATTTTAGGCTTTTAATCCTGGACAGGGAAATCTTTGCTTTCTTAACAGTTTTTTACATAAGGATTTGGCTGTTTGTGTAGTAATTGTTTTTCCGTGTAAACTTTTACTCAACTTCTTTCCTTTTCTCATATGCAGGGCTGTCTTGCACCAATCAAAGTCATCATACCCTCTGGCTCAATCCTCCAGCCTTCCCAGAATGCAGCTGTAGTTGGAGGAAATGTGCTCACATCCCAGAGGGTGGTTGACGTCATTTTTAGGGCGTTTGAGGTGTGCGCTGCGTCTCAGGTGAGAAAAACTGGATTTACACATAAACATTTTTCACTTCAACTGTGGTTGTTTATTGTTTTCTTTGTGTGGTTTGCTCATTTGTCATTCCTCTTCCATCAGGGCTGCATGAACAACATTTCATTTGGCAGCGAGAAGATAGGTTACTATGAGACAGTTGCCGGGGGAGCAGGGGCAGGGCCAAGCTGGAATGGGCGGAGTGGGGTTCACAGTCACATGACCAACACCCGCATCACTGACCCCGAGATTCTGGAGAAAAGGTTAGACACGACTTATAGAAGCATAAAGTCTTTTTTAATATGATTGATATTGATGCGTTGCTGCTGTCCGTCTGGTGTTCAGATATCCAGTCATTTTAGAGCAGTTCTCTCTGCGCCCTGGCTCCGGAGGTGCAGGAAAATACTGCGGTGGAGACGGTGTGATGCGGAAACTTCTGTTCAGGAGCAAGGTGGTTCTGTCTGTACTGACCGAGAGGCGATCCACCCGTCCCTACGGCCTCCTGGGTAAACCCTGACACTTTGAACCTACCTGCAGAAGTACTCTGCAGCCATTTTCTTGTTTTTTTTGCCCACTACGTAAAGATAGATTATTTATCTGGTTTTGGCATGATATCATTTTGCTAGTGGCTGTAGTATCTTTCTTTCTTCATCGGTTTATACTCTGTTCTCACTAAACTCTCTCTGCTGGCTAGGGGGTGAGGACGGTGCTGCAGGGCTGAATCTGCTTCACAGAGCAGACGGCAGAGTCCTCAACCTGGGAGCCAAAACCAGCATCAGCCTTCAGCCCGGGGTAAGACTGGGTGAAACAAATACTATCAAGCGTATGAAACCGTAATGTGCTAGATTAATTCTGCATTTATTAAAGAGTGTCTTGTTGAAATAAGGCACATAAGAAATAAGAAATACATGTAATCCTTAACGTTTTATTATTTTGATGACTATAAACTAATGATTCGTCAGCTGAATCCACCCTTTGTCTGTGTGCTCCCCCCTACAGGACATGTTCTGCCTCTACACCCCTGGAGGAGGGGGATACGGAAGTGAGGGGGATGCAAATGGGAGACCCCAGACCAAGCGTAGGCGCTTGAATGAGACTTTCCCTGAGCGAGGCAGCGTCTTTGAATACCGAATGGCACAAGAAGGAGTGTGAAAAGAATTAAGAGGAGGAGAGAGTTAACAGACAAGCCAGAGGAGGAGATGAAAGAGGTGGGGAAATTACAGGAAGTCAAACAAAGTGAGAGATGGAAAAGACAGAGAGAGTGGGGCTCTTAAAATGTTTGGGGAAACAGTAGTTTCATCATTATGCTGTGAGAAATGAAGAAAGCACATAAAAAAAGGAAGGAAATATTTTAAGCCTAGATGTAGGCTAGAAACGGAAAAGCCACATATTATCATGGTTTATGAAACACATTCTAACAGGAAGCCCTGCTTACATTAGCAGCAAGTGACTGAATACTAATAGCACATCATTCACATTCGTGTGATAGACACAAGATTGTTGCTCAGTTTAACTTAACATTTCACATGTTAGTTGGGATATTATTCTTATTACTAACCGAAGAAAATCTGAGTAGGTTTTGCAGTCCCGTTTTTGATAATACAAATTTGCCCTCTTGGGTAAGGAATAGTGTTTATTTTTGTGTACTGAAATGTTTTTTTAGTTTTTAAATAAAATTCCTGTTTAACTGTGAAAGAAAAAAAACCAACCACGTGAAGCAGCTGCTAATCTGTTTCTAACTGGAACACCACCACTTATCTAACACCACAGCGTTACTGTGCTTCTGTTATTTTACCAGGAAAAACAAATAAACCCCATTTCTACTAATGAGATTGTCCTCATTTTTTTCCAAGTCATGTCTTTCAAAGAAAACATTAGTTTCACTTTTTTTGTGCAGGACAGGAGGAATCTGTGTAGAGAGTATGTAGTCTCCATACTATACGAGTAATGTAATGTTACGCTTGGCTTCTGATACTTTGAGCTCTTTGTTAAAAGGTTGTTCAGCTTGTTCATGAACATTCAATCATCATTTCGTCACGTAAAACAGGGGATTTTTAAATGATTTAAATGATACTCTACTGCCGGGGGTGTAGTGTTTGCTAAGTGTTTGCAAAGTGTTTTTGCAAAAACTCCACACATACACTGCACATGGATTATTGGGTCAAACAGGACCTGTTAAAACACACAACCCACTAAAGCTCAATTTAACTACCAGTCATACATGTAAATTCATGAGAGGGAGTGTTTAGATACAACCAAGAATGGTCTTGTGTGTTTGGGGGAGGGGGACATGTCCCTGTTTAAGTGGTGTCCCCTCCTCCCATCTTTTGGTCAGGAATGATGAGGGAGAAGAGGAGGAAGGATGGTGAAGGAGTGCAGGCATGCGTAGGCAGCTGATAAAGAGATAGTGGCCACAGCAGTGGAAGCAGCAGGAGGCTGACGTCTGCTGGATTGTTGATGTAAATCAGCTGGATGTGTGTGTGTGTGTGCTGGAAACTCCAACACAGAGGCCATGGACTGTGGATCAAAGTTAGTTTCCTTGTTTTATAGATCACAATTTCTGTGGTAAAACAATCTATCATACCTAGAGGATTTGAGAGTCACCTCCTTCTACCTGGAACGATCTATTACTTTAGGTTTTGGGAATCTGTGCTCTCATTACGGGAGAATGTACGAAGGCATGAATCAAGAGGAAGTCCTCGTTTGTGATTTAAAAATATACAGTGTTAATTCTTATCCTTGCATGCCGTTAGTAAGGCTCTACATGACCAATAGTCAGAAAACAACCAATGGCTTTTGTAGGACAGGAAATTGTGGTGCAAATAGTCAGCTGTTAAGTAGGCAAATACAAAACTTCTGCAAGAAAAAAGCTGATACATTTACAATTTCTCTGAAAGACTGAGAGACAGTAGTAAGTCAGTGGTTTGAATTAAACTAGGTACTTAAACATGCAGCCATACCTCAAATTAACTAGAAATGTAACCTACTTATGTGTTTGCTGTTTCACTACTTTTGACTCAACAGAATATAACATTTTAAAACTAGCTCCACCTACATTAATTCATTTTAAGTACACTCATTCAACAGTAATAGTAGTATTACATTTTATGTCGGTCTATGAACTATGTGTGTAGCATGAAGGAAATGCTGAATAAATTCCATAACTAATTGATTCCTTAATACTCACAGGACACATATTTTGCATTCATTTCCTTTGATATATTTATCTTATAATAATATTATTTGTACATTGTGTTATTGCTACCTTTACTCATGCTTCTAGTAGTACTAGTACCAGTGCTACATTTTAGTTACCAAATGATTAGCAAAGATTGAGATGGCAGGCTATTCAAGAGGTTTTACATTCTATGGTATAGCTCTGATGCATTTCTTGTATTGAAACAATTGTTGAGATATGGTATTTACTAAGGAGTAATATTTCTCTTTGCAGTGTCCCTCACTGCAAATAACTAAATAAATGTCATCTAAACATGTTAAAACTGAGTAAGATATAAATGATACAGTAGAATCTTGATCTAACCATGAATATATGCCTATACACACACACCATAAAAAGAATAAAATTGTTAGATTGTGCAGTTTCAGTTTACTTATTGCAATATACAACACTGAGCAGCACAGTTAAAATAGACAGCATTTATTTACATACCCTGTTCAACTCCATAGCCTTCTTTTGATACTTAAACATCTGAGCTGCTTTCACTTCAGCTCAGTACTGTACAAACTTTAACAAGACCACAGGAAAATGGCAAAAAAACTAACAAAACATTCACCCGTCTAGGGAGGCAGACATTTATAAGCAATTTCCTTTGGAAGATGATCATAATGACATTAAAATAGTGCAAATAACCGGCAGTGCAAAGTCCACAGTCCATTAAAAACCTGAGGTAGATACTGGTGGTTGCATAGTGGCCGATTGTCTCCAGGGGCCTGAGAACACGCTACATTTTCACAGACTACAATCTAAAATGTAGCCCATTTTCTTGTCTATAAATAGTTTTTGTATTGTCAAAAACAGTCAAATTCTCAAACACCACCACCAAAAACATCAGTAAAACACAGTTATAGTATCACTATTTATCAGGTTAATATGCTATTGTAGCTGTGTATGAGTAATGCAGACAGTCCACACTGAAATGTAAGACAGGAAAAAACATTACGGTCAACAACTTGTCCTGTATATTTCACCATCTGAACAAACAATAACACAAATGTCAGTATACACTGATCTGTGGACAGACACAACCTGACAAAGAAAAAATGGATTTCCACTGAGATTATGCTAGTTATTTACCTGACAATCCTATTCTGTTTAAAATACTGGCAGGATAAACAGTAAATTGCAAAATTGCATTTTTTACTGTGTACCATCTACAAGCCAGCTCATCGCTGTTAGTTTTTCACATCACTCTAAAATTCAATATTAAATCCAGCAATACATTCAGCAGTCACAATAGGTAGACAACATGTGTAAGGAAACAAATTCATGCCAATAAAAACAGTGCAAATATAATCGGCAGTGCAAAGAGCCTCTGGTAATACACACTCCATTTGATTGGAAGACTGAGGTAGATACTTCTTATTGTATAGCTGTTTGAGGTACCATTCTCCATGGGAAACTATGCAATACTCCACATGTATATAAGAAACAAGGTGTTCGTATTTGAAATTATTTCGTATTTTTCACCTAAAAAAAAAAGAACATGAATCTATCAATGGCATTATTTGTAGTTCAGCTCGAAATGAAAGCAGCATTTCCTTTGTGTATCTTGATTAAACTTCCTGTTATGCATCACAGTGGTTTAGCATTGATGCATTTTTGAGTGACAGTATGGCTCAGTATGAGTCAGTAGGTCAGGGTCAGTCAGTCAGTACTGAGGGTACCTGTTTAAAGGAGGCCCATTCTGCAGGCTGTACTGACTGGGTGGTTGGTGATGTGAGTGAGAGTTCTGACTGGATGGTACTAATGCGTCAAACACACTCTTATTCGGAGGCACAGATTGCAACATGTTGTCCAGGTCCATGATGAGGGGAGGTGCTTGGACAGAAACTCGTCCACTGGGGAGGATGGGCCAATAGGCATGACCTAAGAAGTGACCAGGTGCCACAGGAGAACCGCCATAGCCGTAAATGGGAAGTCCACCATGCAGTGGCATTAGAGGACCCCCGTTAAACCGCATGCTGGGTGGGGCAACAGCATTGGGGGGAGCGTATTTGGCGTAGGAGGTAGGGAGCTCCCATGGAGGTGCAACAGTATCCCGTCTGGCTGATTTGTGCAGTGGCGGTCTGTAGTCCTCATAACCATCTGACCCAGCTTCACCATCAAGAGGAACACGCTTCCCAGACAGGGACATGCCTTTCCATTCCTCATCAGAAGAGGAGGAGGAGGAGGAGGAGGTGGAGGCCGGGCTGGCAGAGCTGGCTGAGGCACTACGGGCATAGGAGGCGTAGCGAGGGCGTGGAGGTGGTGAAGACCGTGGGCGCTCCACCTTTCCCCAACAGTCCCTGGTAGACACGTCCACATCCCCAGAGGCACTAGGTGGCCGCAGGCTGTGCAGCAGAGAGTCGATGGCAAAGGATGAGTCCAGCTTGGGTCGGAACAGATCTTCCTGTGGTGGGGAGGGGTTTCTGGAGCGCATAGGAGGGAGGGGGTTGACAGGAGCAGGGGGTGGCTCCGATTCTGGCTTGTGTCCCTGCAGAATGTAGGGGGCCAGATCCTGGGCAAAGATTGTCTCATCCTGGCGCGACACAGCCGTGTTTTGCCTCTTGAGGAGCTCCAGAGGAACACGGCTCAGCTCCACTGCCCAGAAGTTGCCTTTGCCCTGAGGCTTGCCTGGGTCTTTCAGCACCTACAGGCGGAGGAAGGGTGGACAATGAAATGTGAACTTGGCTTGACAACCTAGTCAAGCAGGACTGACCTAGTTTCATAGTCAACCATCACAATAACAGTGGATAAAAGATAAAAGCTTAAAACCGGTTTCAAGTTCAATCCAAAGCCCTCAGAAAGTATTTCTACAAGGATTAAATAGGATCACCTCAACTCAGGATGGTCCCATGTAAATCGAAGCTTGTATTTAGCAAACTCTTTCCATCTAGCTACTGACAAGACTAAATAGGGATTTAATCAGTTTCAACACACATACCTTCACAAAGCAGTCATAAGAGGAGAGGTTGTGTCGCACAGAGTCTCGCCAGCCCTTGTAGTTTCCTTTGAAGAACGGGAAGAGAGTACTGATCTCCTTCAGGATCTAGAAATAAAACAGAAATATCATTATGGCTGTCTGAAGAAGACTCTTCTTCACTGTATTTCAGTTTGGTTATGCAACGAGCCAGTGCTGTCTGAACACACAGTTTAAGATTTAGTGGATGCCAACTACATATGCAGTGCATTTATATTCTATATGAATTGAAAATTGATAGTTACACTTAAACAATTAAGTTGAATGGGCAGTACTTTTACAGTATAACTATAGAATAGCTAGAAAGTGCCTTCCCAACTGAAATGTGATTTTACCATCAACTGTATATCTTATCACTTTCCTGATACGGATCAGTGTCTGGTTTCACTGCAGTCCAACCTTATCAAAGCAAGCCAAGAATGGTAGGGGTGGCAGTCACTGAAGTGTCACCAAGAGGCTGCTGTTTTATGTCACTTCATGGACTGTAAATCGGTCAGTGTGTTACCGATATATTTAATAGACAGTTACATTAACTCTCTGATTCGACTTACTTTTCTTAAATATAAATATACTACATAGTATTTTTTTAACAGAGATTTATTTCAGTAAAATAATGCTGAAATAAAGTGAACATCATAAGCAGCACCGTGCGTAAAGCACCCCATGCGGCACCTCTATCCACATTACTGTAAGTATAGCAGTGGGCACTCAAACACAAGAGCAATAGAAGAGAATTCTTACCTCAGATAACGTCAGTTTCTTCTCTGGGGACCTTTGGATGACCATAGCAATCATAGCGAGGTACGAGTACGGTGGTTTTGGATACCGCTGATAGTTCTTTTTCTTTCCACCGCTGGTGCTACTCTTCTCCCGTTCACTGCTCCACGAGTCCTTGCTGTTAGTTTCCTGTTTGAAGTGGGCATCTTGAGGATTATCCATGAATGTCGTGGCACTGGCGAGGTGTTCGGGGCGCGCTGCGGGCTTCTCCAAGCGCGACTGCTGCTGGGGAACCATCTGAGCCGGGTGGTGAGGCCAATGTTGTGCTGGAGTGCTGCGCGCTGCTATACCACGGGGAGGAAAGCTCTGCTGCGCATTTCTGTGGAAGTCAAGTTGATGGTCGGGATGTTCTCCAAGGTGGGACAGAGAGGGTAATGCCAAGAGACTCTGCTCAGGCCAGTGCTTTGTCATGTTGATCAGCCGGGGGGCGGCCCGCACGTTTGGACAGGAGCACGGAGAGGGGGAGGGAGGTCAAAGAGTCGGTCCTTAACTTCTGGCAGACTGCTGGCTCCAGGCTGACTCTATTTGAAGAGCAAACAATTAACAGTTTCATGTAAATCCCGCTGCGTAATCGAGGGGAGAATGACGCGTTATCTGAGAGGAGAATGACTGATCGCCCTGGGGGGCTGGGTAGGGTCTGTGTGCAAGGAGGGGCGAGAGAAGGACAGTAAACCTGTAAATAACCCTTATGATAATATCAACATGCCACTTAAAACGCAGAGATTCCGAGTTTGCTTTGGAATCAGTGTTTAGAAGATTTACGCACGGACGTCTAGAGCATTCAGTGCGTATTTGGAGTGGCAATACATTTAAAACAAACAATAAATGTTGTTTTAACAAACTCCGGAGACAAGCACAACATCTTCATCTTACTATCCCAATTTAAACAATAGAACATGTTGACTAAGCCATAATAAATAACGAAGACTTTCTCCTCGAGAGTGACACTTGGGTGCAGAGGCGTAAAGCAAAACTTGTGCTGGGGGTGGGGTGGGGTGGAGTGCAAGGGAGAGAGGTAATTTCGATAGAAGCTTAGATGCAATCAACAATTTTGGTGAGCAATATACATGAGGAATGGCTAATATACAAACGTTGAAACATTAAGAAGTTGGCCATTGCAATCATTCATTTTAATAGGCTGCATCAAATTATTTCTCTCTAAATTATTTGAATCATTGGAATTCCCTTTAGATTGTGAGGAAGACAGTGAAAGTCGTACAAGTTGTTATTGATGCAGGTTAGCCCTGTTCCACAGAACAAGCTTATGCACATGTAAAGCTCTTGAAGAAAAAATTACAAATTGTAATCTCGCAAGATGCAGAATAAATGCTTTGGTGGTGCTCAGAGCGCGCAATAGTTAGGGGTGTTTTGTGCACAGTAGGGTCTCACTGTGACTATGCAGGATGTCATTCGGTGTTGAAAGACTAAGTTTCGGGAATGCATGTCTTTTGTTCAAGTTAACGTAGTGCTAATGTTTAAACTCTTTCTTCCCAGCAAGACAGTGAAAACAAGAACCCCATTGGCAAGCTGGAGACGGTTCCTTCCCAAAGAAGCTGCTTAGCATGTGAGGAAATACGGGGGCTATTCAACACCGTTTGTGGGTTTTCTGGCGCTTACAAGCTGCTAAGTGTCGTTGTAGGGTAGGACATTCACACCTTCAACAGGAGCAATCGTGTTTTCCTGAATTGTTGGAAACAGCCTCAATATATCTCTCAAACAAATACTGTTTTAGTGAATCATAGAATCAACAACCTTGTTACACAGCAGCACACACACTGACACTGAGCTCTAAGGCTTTTTATTCCAATAAGGAATATATTACATCTGATAAGATAAGAAGAGTGAAAAAAACAATTCCCCCCTAGGGGATCAATAAAGTATATCTTATCTTATCTTATCTTATAATAAAAAGGCAACTCTCAAGTGATTGTGCCACAAGGTTTGTTACCAGAAAGAGGCAGAAACAAAATATTTTCACATTGTGATACTTTTCTAACTGAAACTGTGCTGCCTAATCCACAATTAAGTGACAAGTAACCTTTGACATGAAGTGTGTGGCCTACCAGCAAAATGTATTCACCTTAAAGTGAAAGTGTTACTGAGCATTCTCCTTTGATGGCACAAACGGCATCTGACCGCTCCATGATTTAGCTTTAAATGTCCAATTAACAGGGCAAATGGTAAACCTCTATTTATCAGGTGGTTGCAGAAATAAAGAGGGATTGAAATAAATAGGGGTTTTAGTTCCTGCACAGAAGCTTTGGTATCATATTGATAAAGCATGAAAAAACTTACCACGTGAATTTGCAGTGGGATACAAAATGTTTGAACTTGTTTTCCTGGTCAGATGGCTTCCACACCATGGTGAGCGACAAACCTCCTTCACCTGCTGCAATTTGCATCAGTGATTTTCTTCTCTGGTTGCCACACACTGTTGCATTGTCCAGAAAGTTTGTCCCCCTCTGGTGGTTTCACCCAAAACTCAAACCAGAGCCTTGACTCACACTCATAATAAACATGACAGCTCACCAGAAATCAAGCAGTGAGTAGAGTTTTCTCTGTTAAAAAAGTAAATTTGATGGAGTTTGACAATGAGAATGTTCTTTCTTTTAGTTTACTGGAAAATTAAACATGTACAGGCAAACCCCTGACACATAACACACGTTTGGACCCGATTTACATGCCTTCACATAGAGAAGTGATCACTGCAAAAACATGCTGATTTAAATACAAACTGTCAGCCTATCTCTTCCTGTCTGCTGGAGTGCTACTTAATAGGGTTTGCCTGGATTAGTGAGCCACGCATGAAAAGAATAGGAAACCATATGAATAGGACAGCATCCAGGACAGGGCTGTTCACATAGGCTGATTGTGTCTGGACAAATCCCTCCTAAGCTGCCCTGGGAAGCATCCTGAAACTGAGATGATGAGGAGGAATGAAGTTTAGCCTTTCTGGGATAGAGTTTCACTTGTGCTGTCTGGGCCTCATTACTGCAAGATTGTTGTTGTGTATATTTTTACTTGTGTCTTTGTTTTAATACTTACACCTAACAGGTACAATTAACAAGACATGTACATATTGCTAAAAGCTCATTTCCATCTGCAGGCCCTGTGTGGAGGCCACCAGTGATGTGCAGGTTGATAAAGTTATGTTTATGGTGTAAGTTTTCTCCTTTCTATGATAACATTTCATGCAAATCGTCCTATATTTTGCACTACACTATAAAGGTACTGCATTGTGTGTTAATTCGAGGAGATGTAGGTCATGCTCCCAAGCTGTTTCCTCATTGCGTCTCTGCAGAGTGTCACTGCTGGTTTGTTTGGCCAGTTCACTGCAGGGGTCAGCAGATCACAGGGTCATCACTGTCTATCTGTTTCTAGGTATCAGCAGTGGATTCTGATGCTGCTGAGAGCAAGAAACCAGTCAAACAATCCAACTGTATGGTTGGATTACTTTGTTAAATTGATATTTAATTATGGGGATGTTAAAGGAGCATGTGTTCAGGCTTGTGCTGAGGACATTGTCAAATGAGAGTAACAAAGAAGACAAACACACCCTAACAGTTATCATGAAAAGATATGTGCATTCATTTATTTGCCAAACCAGATGTACAGTATTAAAGCTGGCATTAACTCTGTGTCACACCACACTGTACAAACAAGTATTTATGCAAACACACCCCTTATTTTCTGCTTAACAAAAAAGGCTAGGGTGCTTTTGCACTGTAGCATTTCACACCTAAAACCAACAGGAAATGTGTCATTATATATTGCATATTACTATTTCTATTTCCTTTTACTGCTACCACAGATAATATTGAATGCATGTTATGCAAGCATTGCACCAAAGTGGCCTGTCCTATGTAATGTCTGACAACTCTAGCCTGCTTGAAATGTGTGTGTCTTGATAACAGTAATACAAAAAATACTTAAATGTTAATGATATGGCAGTCATTTCAGCTTGATCAGGGATGAAGAAAGGGCAAAGGGATCCATGGTCTCATCTCTAATCATGGATCACTGACAGCTAACATTCAGACATAAATCTTACTTAGCAGAAAGGCTTTTGTCAAACACTAAACACAGAGAACATGTCTCTGCAGTCTGGCTGGATTACATTCACTTTCTATTCATTTTAGAATTCACTTAATTATAACTTTAAAAGCCCTCCATGGTTTGGCTCCATTATATAATGCCCAAGTAACCCCAAGATCTGGCAATCAAATGTTGTAAGTGCCACAATCCAGGTTTAACTTTATTTCAACTTTATTTTTTATAATTTTGTTCCAGTGGTACACAGAACTAAACAGACGAGTCACCTGAGGCAATACAACACAGTTCAAATGTTTTTCGTACAGCAGTTAGCTTTGTGTTAAGGGTTACTTATCATTACTCCCATAGTCCCAGAAAAAGAGAGAGGCATACAAAGAGAAACCAACAAAGCATCAAGTAGGGATCGCCTCCAGTCCATATGCTCTGAGGGAATTAAAATGACTGCTGTCTTATGACGTCCATACAGGAAACACACATACAAACCCAGTATGAGACAAATAAAAAAAAATACATAACAAGAATAAGGTTATGAAAGAACTATGCATGAGATGAATGAAGAAAACAAGTAAATATAATAAATAAAAAAGATGCTTTTACGGTTTTAACTCAAACTGCTAAAACTCTTCAGTATGAGAACAGCCAAGTAAATCTATTCCACATTTTAGAAAGCTGTTAAACCCCACCTGTATTTAGCCTTATATGCTTCCCTATAATTATTGTTGTGATTCACGGTACTGTATTTTATGTGCAACTGTGAATGACCTCATAACTCTGCCTTTGAAAGGAGCTGTAGAAATAAAGTTTGCTCTGGGCTGAGTGGACGCTGACACAAATACAGCCTGCGGGGTTTGTCGCCCTCTGGCGGAGCCGTGCGGGAGAGGAGAGGGCGCAGGTCCGGTTGTTATGGTGAAGCATTTCCCCTGAGGGCTGGCAGCCCGAAGCAGGAGCGGAGCACCGCAGCTGGCTCAGTGTCACAGAGCTGCACAGGAGCTGCTACTCACAGCCAACTCAACAGGTAAGACGTCTCCACACCGCTTCCTCTCTCTTTACGTCGACGGCGTACACCCTGCTCGGTTTGAACTCGCAGTTATTGGTGAGAGTAAGTGAAAGCGGCGTTACTTATTTTAATTCACCTACATTAAAAACACCCTGGCTGCCGCTGAGCTGAGAGGAGAGAGCTAACCTGCGGCTAAGGTAACGTTAGCATGACACAACATCAATGGTAGCCGACTTTATCGCAGCTCAGCAGGTGTTCGTACTGTTTCTGAACTATCAGGCTCACCCACATAGGATAAACGCGCTGGTATTAACTTTATCCCCCACTCGGGCACGCTGGTGAATGAAGCCAGGTAGCTTAAATGAAGTGCTTACGTTACCTGTCAGACTCGCCACCTGTTGAGTCTGTCTGTGGACCGCTAGGTAGGTTAGCTAATCTGCTGCTCACAGTTAATCCCACACAGT